TATATGTCATTTTTTAAGTAAAAAATATTATATATGTAAAAGAAATATAATGTGCAAACTATCGGTTGTTAATGTGCAGTTCGTCCAACACTAAGGTGCACAGTGTAGGTCTGTATTGTGCAGATTGAACCGACTGAACTTTTGTTCTAAATCAAATCGAAATTGACCAAAATTAATTGTTTTACTCGATTCGGTTAACCAAACTATCCTAAATAATCGAAATATTTTGTTATTTATATTTAAATTATATTTAATAATATTATTTATAATTTGATATTAATTTTAGTTAAAAAATAATATATGAAATACCAAAATCAATAAAGTACAAGCACACGAACACAAATGTGAATCTAATATAACATTTGTGTGCGAATTATTAAACGAGTATATTTTATGTGCATTTCAATTTTAGGAAACTCTAATAATGTGTAATATAATTAACAATATTTTACACTTATTATATAACTCATGTAATTAAATTTTTATTTAATATTTTATAATATTTTCTATTGGAAATATATAATAATATTTTTAAATAAATTAATTTTGAACGCATTAATGTGAATTTTGTCTAATGATATAGTGCAATCTGACATTCACTAATGTGCAAAATGATTAGTAATATTGTGCATTAAATTAGAGTTTTTTATATTCAAATTCAAACTAAAAATGAACTGAATTAATTTTATTATTCGGTTGGTTGCTCGCATTAACCTAAATTGATGAAATATCTTATTATTTATTATTATAAAAACATTCTTTTTAAAATTTTTATATTTTTATATATTTTGTTGTTATTTTTAGTTTTTTTTTTTCAATTATTTTAGTTAAAAATGACATAATTGATATATGTACAAAAAATAAATAAACATAATATTACATTATATACTTTTCATAAATTGTATATTTTACCCATGGGTTAAATTGAAATATAATAAAAATTTTCAAATTTGCAATTAGATCCTTGTGAAATGTCAAACTCTCAAAACAAAGTCCTCCACGCTCCAAATCTGTTTTCAATCGTTCACCAATCGGCGATGGACCTCCGTCTGGCCACATTGACCCAGGCGCCGTCCTCCCGCAAGCGACCTCTCTTGGTCGCTCAAACCGTCGCCGGCGTATATGTTTTCGTTGTTGTTTTTTTTTTAATCTGCCATTAAAGCTCGGGGATGAAGAGCTAACCGATCTATTCGAATTTAGGGAAGCCATGTCTGTTCGGGCGTTACAGTGGTGGGAGGCGGCGGAAAATCCGCCTGTGCGTTCGTGGACGTCATATATGGTAGTGATGGCGGATGCCGGCGCTAGTGGCGGGTCGTCGGCGGGAAGAGCGACGGGTTGTCGCCGGCGGTGATGGGCGGCAGTTGTGGCAGGTGGTGTGCTAAGTGTGGGTATGTGTGTGTGGCTCTGTCGGGGTGATGTGCATGTGTTGTGTGTGTGCACGTATGTGGTAAGGAAGATGATGACGTGGCAAGGTGATGAGCCAGTGGTTTATTTGGATGGGTAATGATAATATCTATACTACTCTTAATTAAAGTATAATTTTAATTTTTTTTTAGTCATTAGATCGGATCAGTTTATTCTTATTTTTTTCATTGATTACCATTCTCATTGGAAGCGCGGTCCTGTATTTTATATTTGTTCTATTACAATGATTACATCTCGCGGTTTAGATGCTCTAGTAAGTCTAACGTCTAATTATTAACTAAGTTTTCAACACTTTACAAATAAAAAATTATTAAAACATGAATACGAAGCACATGATTCATATATATAAGTAACATTATTAGAATTAAAATTATCCATATGCATCACAACGGCAAATACTTGTGCAGATGTCCATAAGCAATTTTAACATAATTATTTTTCCCAGTTTCACGACACAATTAAAAGACAGACGGTACTCAGACTCCTCAAATGCCACCATTTTCACCACGGTGGCCCGCCATAAATTTCTGCAAGTTAAGCTCAGAAGGTGATCAACATAAGCTCCGATTTTAGAACAATAAAAAAGAGGAAGATGCGATGCCATAAAAGATTACCTGTATGCAAGAAAGTGTATAATGCACGTCGTTTTCTGATATCTGATGGTGAATTACCAGCCTCAATCTGACATGTGATGACAAATTAATCAAAACATTTGTGTATGTATGTATTTCAAAACATATATATAATCAAAATATGATCAACAAATTAATACAGTAACTCCAAGCAGAAGTAGTACAACGCTGTCAATGACGTGATAAGTTCAAAAGTAAACGGAGAAGGGGACATACTTGCGCAAACCTTCTGCCATCACAAGCACTCCATGTGCTTCGAGATTTTTGATCAGTTCTGTGATATTCAAGTCCTCTAGTATATCAAAGTAGACCTTCGAACACGCAAACAAGGAAATGAGTGGGTTTTCAATAATGTAGCGCACAATCAAGCTCAGACTCGACTCGACCCAACTTGATGGTAATTTAGTGCATTAAAGTCATATTAATTAATGCAACATGAACAATGTATGCAAGCATTCTCCCCTCCCACTCCCTCTACTTCAAAAACTCAAATAATGTAAGAACTCAAATAATTAACCAAAAAATACATTATTACAAACTTTAGGATCAAAGTTATGGTAAATAGAAAAAAAAAAAAAAAATATATGAAATTTCAAATGAAAAAAAAGGTTAAATTAACTTACAATATTGGTCTCTACAGACAGCAAATCAACTTTCAATCCCTTGATATTGTTAAGCCCCCCTGTGACATAGATTATGGCAAAATGTGTTGTGAATAGAGGCATAATGGATAATATAATATTTTACAAATGCAACAATTATAACGGTTACCTGCCAAAATCTTAGCCTTCTTATGATCACTTGCTAGCTTGTCAACATTTTCATCCAAAGCAATCAAAGCAGCAGCACATAAAACACCAATCTGCCTCATAGCACCACCTAATGTCTTCCTAAGAATCTTGGCCTTTTCATGCCGAGCACCGGTTATATATAAATCAACTTATTACACAAACAGAATCCCTAATTCCCAACGAAGAACACGTAAATTAGCCACAGCATGTATACCTTGGCAATGAAAGTTTCTGAACCTGCAATGATAGTGCCAGCTGGAGCACCAAGACCTTTTGACAGGCAAGCCTACATCACATATTGAAAACAGTACATAAAGGGCAGTTCATTGAGAAGAAGTCGAATTAAATTAAATGTGTAAGACAAATAATATTGAGCGTACCGTGACCGAATCAGCAGCCTGTACAAGCCTGTGAACAGGTACTCCGAGAGCCTGGAAAACAGGCGTTTAATTATCAAATTTTTGTACGATACATTACGTATATCAACAATACAGCTTCCATGAGAATCTTAGCAGAATAAAGTTTGTAACGAGTAAAATTTATGACCCTAATTGCCCTCGATGCAGCTTCGACATCAATTTTTTCTTCACATTTAGTTAAAGAACAGAGTTAGGACACAGAGGCTGGCAGAAGACAGCATTGGAACTCTGACGAGGTTGATCGAAAATGAGAATCCTTCGTTAAAGCACATGTGTGTCGACAATTCATCCCACACAACATTAAATTTTTCCTAGTAATGTCCATCGAGAACTCACTCATGTGACCAAATGTAAGAAAACTACCAAGATAAGCACGAGACAGCTCAAGAAACAGAATAAAGCCCAACTTAATTTTCCTCACCACAGATGCATTAAAGATGCGAGCCCCATCAATGTGAAGCTTTAACCCATACTTCTTTGCTAGCTCTCCAACTCGGTCTGTGTACTCAGCAGACAGGCATCTTCCACCAGAACTGTACCCAACATAGCCAACAAAAAGAATGTAAACTGATGGCAATGGCATAATATTGAATAGGCTTACTCACTGTGCATGTGAATTCTCCAAGCAAATGAGCCTTGTAGTGGGATAACATATTTCGAAGCTAGGATCTCTTATAGCTCCTTCAATAAGGTCAATGTCCATTGTCCCGTCGTCGTTGTTCTCGACAGTCCTCGGATGAACGCCCCCTATAGTAGAGATGCCTCCGTTTTCATAGATATGAATATGGGAGTAATCTCCGAGAATGACCTCACTGCCCCTCATCTGGCAATGCGTGAGAACACATATTAGGTTTGCCATAGTGCCCGAGGGCACAAATAAAGCCGCCTCCTTGCCCATTATCCCCGCCATCCGTTTTTCCAGACGAGCGGCTGTCGGATCGTTGCCTAATACGTCGTCGTCCACCTCGGCACTGGCCATGGCCGCACGCATGCTCTCGGTTGGTTTTGTTACAGTGTCCGAGCGGAGATCCACTCTTCTTCTCACCATTTTTTTTTTTTTCTTTTTCCCAAGCTAACCAGGCAACAAGAAAAACAAGTTTGAGCAGAAATATGATGACTAACAGGACATAAATGTAACAAAACTCAAACTCAAATTGTGAAGAATACCCAAAATTTTGATAGTACCTCTTCTTAACTAAGGACTGAGAACAGAAGCCAAAACAATTTTGTGAAGCTAACTCTCAAATACACACACATCATACACATATATATATTCCCAAAGAGAAAAATCCAAACCCCACCACCAACTTTGCCCCCACAAACAACTGAAAAGAAAAAAAGTAAGACCTTTTTCTTTTCAAAAACAAAATCTGAGGTCATTCACAAATCTTTAGCGTAGAGGCAAAATTGCTCTCCAACTTGTCCTACAGTTGTGCACTGTTTTAGAGTTATGAACAGTATCGCGCTACATCTGGCGCGATTCTACAATTTTTATTTGTTTCTTATTATATGCAATTAATTTATCTTAAAATATATTAAATAATAAAATTTTACCATTAAATTTGAGAATTCTATAAAAATATAATTTTAAAAAAAGTATTACATTTTTATATGTAATTACATTAAAATAAATTAAATAATATACAAAAATAATAATTCTTTGTGGAACACTACTAGTACGAATCCCGTGCAATGCACGGGGAGCAATTTTAAGTGGTGATTATACGTCCATGTGTTTGGAAAAAAATGACAATTAAATTATTTAACACTTCATAGTACACAACATTTGTGATTTGGGTTTTTTGGCAAATCGTTATCACCACAAACTAATTTTTCAAACTCTAACGATTCGTAATGTGGGAACGAAAATATACAGTTGACTGTGACTAAACATTGGTTTCTTCAACAACCGACCAATTGTGCGATAATGAGTGACATTGACTCTTATTTATTGTGATATTGTATCCTATTTATCATACGTGAGAAATAACAGATATGGAATAATTATTATTATTATCTATATTAAAAATTATATAAAATTTTTGAAATATTTATTGGGTAGGTTAGATAAATACGGAAATGAAACAATATGTTTAATAGTGTGGTTGAATAAAGTTTTTTTGATATTTTTAATTTCAATCCCAAATAAAATCAAGATTATTTGAAAAACAAATCAAAATAGTTTGCCATTAAATTGATATAAGTTAATCAATTTGTTGAAAATGGTACATAATTAACTGTGTAAATTCGAAATAGCATTTTCTTGGGTCTCTTCTCAGATCTGGAACGAACCGATGAGAAATCGTCCGGATCTGGGATGAACCGGTACGGATGAGCTCAGATCTGACTTGATGGCCTCCGAACTGTTGTTGAACCGCAAGAACACCTGCAAGAACTCAACACCGGAGGGGTTTCCGATTTAGAGCCTCCGACGCTCAAGTCAATATGTGAAAAAGATGATGAAAGCTGCTCTGAGAGAGCAGCAGCAACAATGGAGAAGAATGTAGGATGAATGAGGGTTAGGGTTTTGGAGTTACCTCAGCTCCTTTATATAGAAGTGAAACATTTAACTGAAGTCCCCAAAATGCTCGGCCGACTCACTGGAAATGTCCAAACTACCCTGACCGGTTTGCATTCCGTCCATTTCCTAGTCAGCTTCTAGATCCTTCCTTATCCTTAACTTCCCTTCGATATGCTGAAGTGTATTAGAGCTGTCGAGATCTATGGGTTTCTAAACCTCTTAAGTCGACTTGATCCAATCGATTCGAGTCGACTGGGTCATATTCAACCGCTAGTGGATCCCGATACGTTTGACCATCGTCCTGGAGGAAATCGACTTATGTTAATCGACATGTGTACGTCGACTTAGACGAGTGCCGGGATCCTTGACCGTGAGTATCATGAAGAGCCTATTGGCGGAGTCGACTTTGCTCAAGTTGACTTGGTAACCTCTGAGCCGTAATGATATGGACCGTTATGCGTCAGTGTGGCTCACATTTGAAACTACATTTACGGCTAAGTTTACGGAATTGAGGGTCAATTTAAATTTAAAAACTCAATTATTAAGCGAAAAATCATGACATAAAATTGATTTTTTTTTTCCAAACGATCACGATAATATTACTCAAACCAAAGAGAGTTTACAACCGGACGGCATACTAGCCGTAATACAAACCAGAGAACCACTCCCACTCGGTGGCCTAGAACACACAACAAGGCACTAAAGGCATAGGCAAAGCTATGAGACCAAAGCACCACCAAAACAAAATAACACAGAATAAAGACCCTAACACGCAAAGACCCCCAACAGAGTAATAAAACGACATAAAATTGATTTGAATTTTAGATTTCCTAAATAATTGAATATGATTTGACATTAAACACCAAAATTAAACGATTTTTTTTATTTTATTTTATTTTTAAAAAAAAGATACGAATTTTAAAGGAGTTGTACTGGTTTTTAAATTGATTTGAATATATTATTTCCCAAATAATAGGATAAAGTTTGAATCAAACACTTAATATTAACTAACTTTGTTAGCAATAAAAATGGGATATGAATTTTATGGTAAAAATCTCAATTGTTTCAAATTATTTAGTGCACGTATTTTTATTTTTTTTAAAAAAAAATCTTTTATAGTAAGTCAACAATTTATTTTTTAAGTCAAACTTACTATATTTGTATTTTCCAACAACCTCCTTATATTATTATAGATTATAGATTATAGATTATAGATTTGATTTTCCAAAATATTTGAGTATTTTTGTAATATCCAAAAAAATATATTTTTTATTGTATTACTGTAATATAAAATAAAGATATTTGTCGACATTATTATTTAATCAGTTGTGAAATATGTATTTATATAATACCAAAATATGTATAGTATCAAAATAGAAATATATATTTTATTTTTTTTGTATTTCAAGACATAAAAAAGGCGTTACAGAAATGCGCATCATCTAAAATGAGACATGTCAAAATAAATTATGTAACTGAAAGTTACACATTTTTATTAAATGAACACCTATTTTTCTTAAATGAACTACTAACAAAGATATTAGTTGAGTCAGAGCTTCATTAATTCTTGTCCAGAAAACAATCTTAGAGCATGCACCATTCACATTTTTTTCAATATAAAAGATTGTTAATTTTATTTACCACTACATCTCACATCAAACCAAGAGTACAAATAGAAATCCCAAAATAAGGGTGAACACTCACATTACAAAAGTACCATACAAAATCAGAGTCAGTCATAATAAACAGTAAAGACTCATCCTCTATAAGGTAGATAATGAGGAAAAAAAATCGGACGCAAATCTTAACTGTTTGACCAAATATCGTGGCTAGTATGCAATCGATTTCAAATGCCCAGCATTTAAAGAAAAACCAACATTTTAAGATTCCTGTTTTAAAAGTAAAGTAAAAAAATAAAAAATAAAATTCCAAAAATGCTATACATTATGTTTACTATTTTTAAAAAAATGGTAATTCTTTTTATATATATATAGATTTCAAACTAGTGGAAGTTCAGCTAACATTATGATATATTTTATTTTATAAAATAATATGTCCAATTAAATAATATTTTGACACGTTAACTAAATTAAAATAATATGAATAATAGATGTGGATTAGAATGTAGCGCGAACGGTTGGAAGCCAAATTTGATTTTTGGTTAACTCTACTCTAGAGTAGAGATAATGACTGGAGATGGTATCAATGACCCATAAAGGGACTTTGATTACCATGTCATAAACTCTGTAAATGGAGATGCGTGCGCCAGATAGTGCTTTTAGACCAGCTCCAATGCTGCTCCAGAATAGCGCAAAACGCTGGAGTAGCGTGAGAATTATGCTCCAGTGCGGCGCTGGAACTTATCGCTAGAAGAGAGTCGGAACAGTGTTGCGCCACATCTGGCGCCAACACTGTTCATAGACTCTACAATTATTTTTTTTTTTGTTTTTTTTTTGTGTATTATTATTGGTAAATTTTTGTATAATGTGTATTAGTAAATGTATTTTTAATGCTAAATAATTTGTGTAATGTATTTTTTATGTTAAAATTTTTATGTTTTTTTATTTATTGATGTATTATAATTTTATTTTGCACTTTTTTAATATTAAAATGATATCATATGAATAAAAATTTAACACACTCAAACAAGTTTATTTCATTAAAATTAATGTTTACAACACACATAAATCATAGAACATATATAAAAACAACATGATAAAAAATGACTTAACACACAAATAAAAACAACATGATTAAAGATGACATAATAATCAAATGAACACACGAATAATTCTACTAGTCTCCCAAACCACTTCCAGACCCGCCAAGATCTTGAAAAAACTCACTGAAAGAACCAAAAGTGTTGTTTGCTTATGATGACTGCGATCCTTCTCTTTTTCTCAGTATTCGTTCTTGCTCATTTTTAAAATATTCACGACGACGACTATCTTGTATGGACTCCAAATCCATCATTAAAATTTTATTTTCCTCTGTCCATGTGGTAGTCTCAACAAGTTGTTTTCTTAATTCATTTTTTTGCTTTTGAATTTCAATTTTTTCTCTTATCATCTCACTGTCGTGATCTCTCTTCATTGCTGAGCTTTTTATCATCTCTCTAAATTTTTCATTTTCCTCTCTCATTGTTTTTATAACTGCAGATACGTCTTCCCCCTGTTTTCTCTTGAATTTTGATTTTTTAATACCTAATGGTCGTTTGATGATGAACCACCACTAGCATTTCCATCGCTTAAATTAATAGAAAAATTAGATAGTTCTGGATTAGGTGAAATGGGAGACTTGGATTGTGCATCTGATTGCAGTTGAGATGAAAAAGTGTTTCGCCTGGTTGATGTGCACTCAAATAATATAAAATCTTTCATAATATTCCACACATGCTCGTACTTGAATGATTTATTACTTTTATTTTTTGAGTTTTGCGAATAAAGTATATTCGCACGCTCCATTTACAATGTGAAAATAAATAACATTAGAAAATATAAAAATTTATCTTAAATATAAATAAATAA